CCACAGGCCAGCAAGAAGCAAAGGCTCAGCAAAAGGCAGAGACTATGGTTTCCTCCTACTTGTTTTTAGAGGTTTGTTTAGAAAATCCCACCTGAGACAGAAACATTTGCATTCCAACGACACTCACAGTGTGCTGTGTCCTGAGTGCCCTGTGAGGCTGGATACCGGGTCCCCTCTGGCGGTGGACAGGAGCGTGTGGTGGGTGCAGCACGACTGTGTCAGACCCACTTGAATGCCCAGGGCTTTTTGCTTCCTATTCGGGATGGAGACAGCCATAGAGAAATAGACACGACTTCCTGGAGAAGGGCTCTGGGTCTGCTTCGGATTAGTGGAAATGAAGTCGGTGAAAAACATTTGGCTGTTTGATCATAAAAGGAACTATTTAAAAAGTCCCCGGTTTGTATGTTCTCCAGAATATTTATGCCTAGTAATGATGTCAGGAAGTCACGTGATGCAGAAAACAAAGATGTGACCAGAGGTTCTGCCCCAAGGTTGAGGGCAAGCGGGCCCTGGTGTCTCAGTGTGGCAAGGCCCACTGAAGAGCTGGCCTCACGACCCTCCCTCTTCGGTGGGTTAGGGCGATGCTCTGCTCTCTTCACAGAATTCTGGGAGGGCTGGAATCAACAGCATAGGAACATAAACTGTTGGAACAGCTGTTAGTGTTGGGGTAATCAAGGAGCACTGGAGGTGGGGCAGGGCAGATGTGCGGTTTAAGCAGCACAGAGCAGCAAGCCAGACCTTCGTGGAGCTTTGCTGAGCCGGGGTGTGCTCAAGCCAGATGCCAGCCCGTGCTGGAGGACTCGTGAGCTCTGAAGAGTGCTGTGTTTTTGTTCTGGTGAAAAATCTAACAAAGCAATATAAGCACATTCTGGATCGCTGGCTCTCCTCATACCCAAACACTGCCAAGCAGTGTCAGGGCTCACATGTGTGCTGGCATTTATGGCTACGGGAGCACCAAGAAGGATTTGTCACAGGGTAGGAGAGAAGGCAGCCCTCAAGTGTCCATAGGAATTCCTACCCAGAACGTCACAGGCTGCTGTATGAACAACTCAGGTTCGTCTTAAGTGGTGATTTAGGGCCAGCCGACATTCTTATCTCTCATTACTCTTTATATTAGTTGGGGTTTTAGTTATGTTTGGAGTTAATGTTTAATGTTTTTGTCAAATATAATGTGTAAGTTAAAAAACTTGCCAGATTTTATATTGCTCTGTATTTTCTTAATATTAAAATAAAAACAAATATCAACATTATTTAAGTGATATTTGGGGATTGCTATGATTTTATTTTTCCATTAAAGAAAAATCATACTGAACCAGGCCTAGTGGTGCAGGCCTGTAATCCCAGCACTCAGGAGGCTGAAGCAGGAGGATTGCCACAAGTTCAGAGTGAGCCTGGGCTACATGAGTTCAGGGCCAGCCTGCACTACAAAGTGAGACCATGTTTTAAAAAACTAAAAACTAACTAATTAACTAAGGTAATAAAATAAGAAGGATCATGTTGTGTGTGTGTGAGAAACAGTGACATTGGGCTGGGAATGTAGCTCAGTGGCACTGCACCTGCCTGGCAAGTGCAAGGTCCTGGGTTCAAGTTCTAGGACAGAAAAAGCAAACAAACAAACACTTTACATAATCACATGAAAAGTTACTCAAAGTCATTTGTCAGTGAGGAAATGCGAATTAAAGCCACAATGAGAAATCTCTACATAGACATTAAGTTAAACAGATTGGCCCTATCCTGTCAAGCTAGCTGGCAGTTAATTGGAGTTACCAGATGGCCACTCCACTTCCAGGCATTTCTTCCCCAAGAGAAATGGAAATATAGGGTCACACAGAGAACTTACAAGGATGTTCATAGCAGTTTTAGCTTCCCATAGTGGCATACTAGATACAATCCACGTCTCCTTCAACAGGTAAAAGAATAACCCAATCATGGTATATCCATAGTTGGAGTATTACTCAGAAGTAAAAAGAAAGAACCACTGATAAAACCACAAAAGGACTGGATCTCAAGGTCAATGTGTTAAGTAAGAGAAAGGATGCCATGATGCACCAGTGCACGACCCCATTTCCACACAAATGTAGAAGCTGTCGATGAGGTCACGTGACAGGAAGATCAGTGGTTGCTGGGGTTAGGATGAGGACAGGGAGAGAGGCAAAGGGGAATACAGGGCCTTTTAGAGATGGGTATGATCATCTTCTTGGTTGTGGTGAAGATTCCACATATGCATATGTATTTAAAACTCATCAAATCACATTTAAATATGGGCTGCTTATTGTATGTCTACTATAATTCAATAAAGCTGCTGAAAATTAAAAACACACACATCACTACCCTTTTCACCAGACAGACTGGGTCTCTCACTATTAGCGTTAGCTTGGCCAGCCACTTACTATTTTGAGTGCCACGTGGAAAAGGCTATTGTCATACACACGTCAACTAGCAAAGTACTGGGCACTCAGAAAACACCCAGTAATTGCAGCAATGGAGTGGGGATTTCACCTGGCTGAAAACAACCCAGGCCTTGGTCTTTGTCAACATCTCCTCTTTGTTTCTGGGAATGATGTTGTAGCACATTCTGTGCAGTTAGGATCCATGTCTTGTCATTTTATGGGACATATGGCAGCCACCTCGTGAGCCCCTCGGCTGGAAGGGAAGCATCCAGGGCTCAGGCTGCCCACTGCACCAGTGAGATCAGTGTTTCACAGCTCCCAGGGATTGATATGGCCAAAGTCGTTTGAGAACTAGGGCTCTTGTGCTGTGCTTCTCAAGGTTAGAATGGGGATGTCACAACGCAGGGAGCTTCTTGACCTGCATTTCCTCAGCTCAGTTCCAGGTGTGCTGACAGAACATACCAGCAGCAGGTCATCGTCCAAATTAACTGAAAGATTGTATCATGTCTGTCAATATGGACCAACATTTTGCAGCACTTAACAAATAGTAACTTGTCCCTAGAATCCAGGACAAGACTGTTACTGCTTTCCATCAAATAAGAGTCTACAGGAATCAGGGGCCTCATCCACTATCATTACATTCTCTTTCCTTTAGTTCCTTCATACTGGATGCCCTGTACCATCCTGTACCCACCAGCCCCACCACCATGGTTCAGACCTAAAATGTCCCTGAAAAGGCTTACGTGTTGAGACCTTGGTCCCCAGGGCAGCAGGGTCTGGAAGTGAGGCTTTAGGAAGGTGCTTGGGTCATGTGGACTCTAGCTTCACCAGTGGAGTAGTTGTTTGATGGAGTCAGAATTTGCTGGCAATATTGGGAAGCGACTGTAAAGTAAAGGAGTGGGTCATGGGAGTGTAGCCTCCAGAACTGCCTTACTTTGTTGTTGCTGTTCCTGACAACCACAAGTTAAAGGAGGAAAGATTTATTTTAGCTCACAGTGTTTAGAGGTTTCAGTCCATAGTCAGCTGGCTCCAGGCAGGATGGCTTGGTAGAAGGGCATCACAGAGGAGGAAGTCCACGGCAGGACGGGAAGGCGGCAGCAGCAGTGAGCTTCCCTTTCTCTTTCATCCCACCCAGGTTACAGGCCCATTGGTTGGTGCCACCCACACCCAGAATGAGCCTTCGGATTATCCGTACCCAGAACTATGCTGAACAAATCGGTGGACTAATTTAGTTATTACACCCTTAATGATTGAGCCAGCTCTGAAAAGCTCCACCTATGAATGCATGAGACTTTGGAGGACATCTAGATGCAAGCATAACAGGGACTTGTCCCTGGCACCCTTCGCATTCATATTCATTCTCTCTCCCTCTGTCTCCCTTTCTCCCCCCATCCTTCTAGACTACCGTGAGGCAAGTAGCTCTCCTCTGCCACACCCCTTGCCTGACACTTCTCTCTCTCCCCATAGGTCTAATAGCAGCGGAGCCAGCCATCCATGGACTGAAACCTTGAATCAAAATAGGCCTTTTCTCCATTGAGTTGATTTTCTTAGGCATTTTGTTACAGTGTTGGGAAGTTAATGTGATTCTTTTTATTTTTTTATTTTTTTGGTTTTTTGAGACAGGGTCTCACTATGTAGTTGAGACTGACCTGGAACTCACTATGTAGCCCAGGCTGGTCTCAAACTCACAGTGATCCTCCTGACTCAGCCTCCCGAGTGCTGGGATTACAGGAGTTCACCACCACACCCGGCCTGTGATTCTAAAACTATACTTTAAAGATTATAAACTACCTTTTGGCAATTGCTCTTCTGTATTTTTTTCTTTGTTTAGATTGATTTTAATATCACTTTATTTTAAAAGATATTTTAATTAAGAGAAATGTATATTTTTATGGAAAAATATAAACAAAAATAAGTAAAACATAACATCTTAAATCCCTTGTTGTTTACCATTTGTATAACTGGTGGTGTGTTACCATGATAAATAACACTGGTGTGACCACCCTGTGTATAAATCTCTGTGTCTCCCTTTTATTAGTTCATCAGAACATACTTTGAAGAACCAGCAAAGCAATTTGTCAGCGTCTTAGCTGTGGTCTCCAGCACAACTGGGGGTTCAGGGCTTAAACCCTAAGTAGAAACTGAGGTCTGCATCTGGGGAAAATGCCTAATAAATGGAGGGAGCTTGCCTTTCCTGATTTACATCTGGCTTCCTCTGAGACTGAGTCTCCTTGGGGTGTCTCAGAGGCAACCTGTGACAATGGCATTTGAGAAGCTTCCCTGGTACAAATGCCTGAGAACATTCTCAGCTGTATTTCCTCCCACTGGCTTTGTGGCAGACCCATCTATGGGCCCAGGATCTGAAGTGCTCTCTCTATTGAGTGCGGAAGTTTCTCCACTCTTGCAGGGAACACATGCTACTTCTTCAGGTCCTGCTTACACAGTGTGAACTGCAGAAAGCAGTATTGTTTGATCATCACCAAAGACAAACTAGTTCAAATTGGCCTAGGGATGAGAGACAGCACATTGGCATGGACAGGGGCAGATCTAAGCCATCAGTTGCACCATGTTCTCTAAAAGTCAACTAAGAAAATCAATCTTTCCTACTAGGGAAGGAGAGCGCATGGGACAGCATGGCAGGGCTGGCTGGATGATGCAGAAACCATACCCCTGCCCACCAAAAGGACGCACGTGCTATGGGTGAGTTCTCCTGTTGAAAAGGGGATTTGAATTCGGGAGGGAAACCTGCATGTTTGGTTTATGAGGGCCCTGAGCTGCTGGAGCTGCATTCAGATCACACTGGGGAAGGGAGAGAGACCCTGATGCTGATTTGCTTCTTCAGATTAACAAGTTCCCCAGCTGGCTCCCAGCAGAAATGCCGCACCGGGTCGTGGCAGTATCTCCAGCATGGGGGTTGAATGGCGCTTCAGGCTCAAGGCTCAGCTGTCTTATGTTTTGTCAAGGCCTTTCTGTCCAACAAACAAGGGAGGTCATGTAACCACCCAGCAAAATAGAATTCTGAGTGTCATTCTCTGGTTTATAGCACTTGGTAAGCTAACATGTTTATTATGTGATTCTTGTAGAATACTTTTATAGAAAGAATTAAAACTCTGCTAGAGTTTAGCAAACTATTTTTTAAAGGACAGAAAACTAGTGCAGATACTTTACAAAAGAGGATAACCAAATGGGCAACACATATTTGAAAGATGCCTAATACCAATCCCCATGGAAATTCCAATTAAAACAAAGCCATCAGATGCCTAAAAATGAACTGCATATGTTATACAGGTGAATATATGTTTCCCCAAAGATATAGTAATTGAGCAGGAATATACATTTCAAAGGAATGTGTTCATTTGTGCACTGAAAGGCATGTACAGGAATGGTCATGGAAGTGCCATTTTTAATGGCCATAAAATTGGTCTCAACCAAAAATGATAACCATAGCATGGATAAATAAATTGTGTTATGCTTGCACAACTAGGTACTACAGAGCATTATAAAGGAACAAAGTACCATGACACATGACAAGATGGACGAATCTCAAAATGTAATATTGGGCAAAGCACACAGACAGAGTAAATACTTTGATTCCACTGCAAAATGGTAAACACCAGCCAGACAGATCAGTGCTGTCAGCAAGATGGCAATTTCCTGTCACGTGGGGGGGTGAAAGAGAGAGGCTTGGAGGGTGCGTATCCCATTCTATGTCTTGTTTTATTACGTAGGTGTGAACAATTTTAAAAGTTTGTGAGGCCATGCACATATATTTTGAAGCATGCTTTTGTGTGTATGTTATACTTCAATAAAGTAGTTCCCTCTGTTTTAAAATGATCGCAGAGGGAGACATTCGACAAATCAGTAGGCAATCTCATTTTATCAGGTGAAGAAAAGGACTGTGATTGATTTAAGAACTGTGTGTTTTACTTGTATCTTATTTTGCTCAGTAAGTGTGGGATGAAAATTTGTGGATAAATATATTTCACTAAATAAAATCTAGTTCCTTAAGGAGGTCCTGTCATAAAGCACTTTAAAATGTTCCTTGTTCTCTGACTTATCTTGTCTGTGAGTGTTATGGCTCATGTCTAGATGTCCCTCCAAAGCCTCATGTGGTCATAGGGCTTTTCAGAGGTGGCTGAATATAGAATGAGTGATGCTGGGATTAAGGATGGTGATGACTAAATTAGTTCACTGGTTGGTTTGGCATAGTCCTGAGTATGGATAATGGGAAGGCCCATCCTGAGTGTGAATGAAACCCACTCTAAGGGCCTGTAGCCTGAATAGAATATAAGGGACAGAGAGAGAGAGAGAGAGAGAGAGAGAGAGAGAGAGAGAGAGAGCTGCTACCATTGCTTGTTGTTTGCTGTTTCACTGCTTTGCTGCTTTCTGCTTGCCAGGAACTGTTTCTCCGCTGCAATGTCCTTCTGCCATGCCACCCTGCCTTGGAGCCAGTCAAATATGAACTAAAATTTCTACAGATTGTGAGCTAAATAACCTTCCCTCCTTTAACTTTGAGTGTTGGGTATTTTGTCTCAGCAATGAGAAAAGTAACTAAGACAATAAGTTAAGACTTTTATTCACTAAGATTTTATTGATTAAAGTGCATGTGAACCAATTCCCACTGAGTCATTTGCTCTTGTCCTATATTTATTTGTTTCTTTTCTTTTCTTTTTTTCCCCCTGATTGAATTTATTGGTACCTTTTAGGTATACAGTACAGTTACATTCATTATTGGGATCTTGTACCTCTATATGACAGGTCTTGGTTCTCATTTTTTCCCCTTGTCCCTGCCCTCCCTTCACCCCCTCCTTCCCTGCCCATTTACAAATACTTTATTTCCATTTTTTCATTTTTTCCTATTTTTTTCCTTTCCCTTATTCCCTTTCCCCTACCCTTCCCACTTTCCCTACATCTTTAGCCCTTTTCTTCCTATTTCACATTGTCGGTTATCTCATTAGGATCTTATGTACTATTGTAGTTTTTCACACCAGAGAAACTATTTGGTATTTACGCATGTGTGACTTATTTATTTCACTTAGGAGTATATCCTCAATATGTATGTATTCGTAGGAAAATGGATACATACTATGACTGTTAAAGCTAGATGTCAGTCTAAGTTTTAGAACAAAGGAAGAATGGGAAACTAAGAAAAGGAAGACGCAATCACTCACAATGAACACAAAAAGAAAATCCAAAAGAAAGTCCATTTTTTCTCACAGACATTGATTGTCTTCTCTAAATTAATAAAAATTATTTTAACATAAACTGTATTTTTAAAAAGTAGAAACTCTTCAAGTAACTAAAGATAATGCTCTAAGGCCATTTTCACAGCTTTTTTTGGTTGTTGTTTTAAATGCCATTGCAGCCAAATTAACTCACATTTGACCAAATATTTCTAAAACAGTCCAGCAACACACAATGGAGTTTTCCACTCAGTATTTTAAGCACAAAAATAGGCTATGTTTACAGTAGTTAAGGCAATTGAATTTTAAACAAAAGCAAATTTTTATAAAAAAGGGAAAAACAGCAAACATTTTCCATGCTACTCCCATAGACCTTATTTGTAAGTGCAAGACAGGAAAACAAACATTGTGCAAAATGCTTTTGCCCTGTGTGCTGGTCATTAAAACTATACATTGGGCTGCAGTCTTTGCTGCCGATACACATAGTCTACTAACCCCCTTCCCCATGTCAATCAAGGCTGTCCAGTCCTTTCAACCTGGGGCTTTTTTCAGTCCATAGGATCTTTTCATAAACTGGGGTGGGGTGGGGAGGAAAAAAGGGGTTTAAAAAAAAAAAGAGAGAGAGAAATGACCTGTTGTCAATCTGTGCAGTAGTTATTATAAAAATGCTCAATTGGGTAAATGTGTACACCTAAACTTTGAGCTGGCATGGGTTTTCTGCAATTAGAAGTTTCTTATAATTGCACACTGCACATGCAAATCTTTAAGCTCTTTGTAAACATGTATATGTTCCTTATTATGTAGTGAAGTTATCAATTTCCAGCTTAACTTTTTATTCAGCTTAACAGTTTCAACTTAAAGACAGTGGGAAAGTCAATTTAAATTACATAAAATAAAAATAAAAGCAGTGCATTTACATTCTTCATAACACCATTTTTTTCCAAATGGTGCTATATTTGAGAAAATTAAATGATTTTTAAACTCACTCATTAAAAGTTATGGACTCTATAAACATCTATTAAGTCCATGCTTTCAAAAGGTTGGTTCAATTCTAGTATTTCATTGTTGACTTTTAGCCTAGATGATCTGTCTATTTGTGAAAGTGGGGTATTTAGACCCCCACTACAATTGCATTAGTGCTTATTTGGTTTTTCATGTTTCTTAATATTTCTTTTATATAGTTGGGGGTATTAGTATTTGGTGCATGTATGTTTATGATTGTCATTTGTTCCTCTTGGATTGTTCCCTTTACAAGGATGTAGTGGCCTTCTTTGTCTCTTTTGAGCAGTTTTGGTTTAAAACTTACTTTGTGAATAAGATTGCTACCCATGCTTTTTTATGGTCTCCTGTCTCACAGAGAATTCCTTTCACTTTCAGTCTAGGGGCTTCTTTTTTCACTAGGTGTGTTTCTTGTATACAACATATTGTTGAATTTTGCTTCTTAATCCATTCTGCCAGTCTATTTCTCTTGATTGGTGAGTTGAGGCCATTGACAGTGATGGTTATAACTGATATGTACTGACTTATTATTGTCATGTTATTGGCCTTTTGTTGACTCTTTTTACTTTTTCTCCTTCTCCTTTTAGTTTCTTGCCTTGCCTATTTGATTTGCTCTGTTGGGCCTCATGGTGTTGTTACCTTCATTGTCTTTTTCTAGGATATTGTTTAGAATTGCTTGTAGTGATGGTTTGGTATTTGATGTAGTTTCTCAGGTGTTCTTTGTCGTGTAAGTGTCTTATTTCCCCCTCCATTCTGAAAGAGAGTTTTGCTGGATACATCAGTCTAGGTTGGAGGTTGTTTTCTTTTAGTACTTGAAATATCTCATTCCAGGCTCTCCTTGACCTAAGGGCTTGTGTTGCAAAATCTGCTGATTCTGATGGGCTTTCCTTTGCATGTGATTTGTTTCTTTTCTCTTACTGCTTGTAGTATTTTGTTCTTCTGTTGGATTTCTGGGATCTTGATTATTATATGTCTAGGTGTAGATTTTTTTTGGTTGTGGCTAGTTGGGGTCCTATATGCCTCACTTATCTAAATGTCAAATTCTTCCCCTCTGTTTGGGAAGTTTTCTGTCATTAATTCTGCAAACAGCTTTTTTAAGTAATTTGTATTTTCTCCTGCTACTTCATGGATTCCTATCAGTCTTATGTTATTCTTGTTTGCATCATCTAGGAGTTGTTGGATGCCCCGGCCCGCGGGGTCAGTAATTGGCAGAGCTCGAGAAGGGGAAATACCTGGAAATGGGACAAGAGGGGCGCAGAGAGAAGGAGACCAAGCAAAGAGTTGTCAAGGTCTCATTTATTTGCAGATACAGGCAGTTTATAAAGGCAAAAACCTCAAAATTGTAAGAGGAAATAGTTAACCATAAACTTTGGGAGGAGAATGTAACAATAGTATAACACAATGTTACTATGTAACGGATCAGGTCACTTGTCTGCGCAAACCCGTTGTCATGGGTAATGACACAACTGTGGTGGTGGGGTGATCAGCGGGTCAACATGGAGGCTGTTTGGTTTTTAC